TTAACACGCCAAACACCCTTACCAAACTTTTCAGTGCTACCAAAACAAGTTTCACTACTATTAAAGCAATTCAAGGTACTAGATAACAGTTGTTTATTCCTTCATCATTGTATTACGTTAGCTGCTCAGGGTTTTAGATGACAAATTTTAATAAACAATTCAAACTATTCTTTGTAACTATGTTTTATGGAGATTTCAGCATTAATTTGCATCTCAGTGGATGCCCCCATTATTCTCGATTTTTTTCCTTGCAAATTGAATAACCTGATCCTTATTAAAACATTGGCAGTTTTGGGAAGGTGCACGTGGTGTGATCAAGTGAAGAAATAAAAAAAAAGGGTTGTTTAGAAACTGGACAGAATTGAAAACAGTCATAGCCACAAAACACTAGCTGGATAGAATGAGAGTAATATAATGGGTGTAGCTAAAGAGCAGGGCCTGGTTCCTCAAAACATGGTTAAGTTTAACACTGGATTAAGCCAAATTGTAAGCAAGGTTTTCTTGTCTAAGATCATGTCACTCGAGCTTACAAAATACTTTTGTCTTTACTATGAGACTCTATGATAACATAGACATAGAATGTTGCTCTAGGCAATGCATAGAAAGGTAAATACAAAAATGGAACAAAATTTTTTATCCTGGATTAACACTAATCCGCTTTTCAGGAATCTGAGCCAAAAAGCTAAATTGCTATGGCCATTGTCCATGAGACTGGAGATGATAATGATCCCAGTTATAATTTCAGCATTCTAACAGGTGTATTCAGAGCGTTTGACAATATAGATGTGGTAGTAACAAGTAGAATGTTCCTTACAGTCAACTAAAAAACAACTCATGAAGAAGACTTTTTGTGAAGCTTTATTTTTCTGAATATCATACATTTCATCATGATTTGCCCTTTTTACAGTAATCATTTATAATATTACACGTAAATAGTCTGACAACAAACAAGTCAGTAATAAGTGTACTGCCATCGTAAGACCAACAAACTATTAATACAAGGTGGCAGAAAAATCATAATTGCAATGATATACAATACTCAGTTCCCTTTGGAAATGGCTCACTGATTGTTGTTCAATACAATCATTTTGACCATTTCCATTATTATTATATCCTCCTCACAAACGTTCTTAGGGCTTCAGCAAAATGATTGTCCATAGCATAGGGCAAACTACTCAGTGTTGGCCAAGCTTTTCATTTCGGAGCTTGTTTTGTTAAAAGGTGCAGCTCTTAAATGGTGTAAATTAAAACAAAACAACAAAAAACACTTCCAGTGGGGAAAATCTCTGGAAAAAAGAACTGATAGTAAAGTGTTCTACAACAGCCCTTGACACAAAAGTGGAATAGTTTTTGTTGAGATGATAGTGACTGTTTAATAGTCGTAAATACAATACAAATAAATAGACTAAAAATTAATAACTCACTAGGACTCACAAGTAATGCATCAGTCAATTCCAGCTGTGCCCAGCATTAGCATTTTTTTGCCTTGGATGGCAAATTCCCGGGGATGGGGACTCTTAAGCTGACAAATCCCCTGGGGTGGGGACAAAAAAAAGAGGGCAAATGCCCCGTCCTCTGTCAACACTGCAACATTTTTCATTGATAGCACGGTCAGGTAGTGCCATTTTAAACATTTTAATGTTCGATTTTTTCTTTCAATTAACGTCTTCCTTAATTGTAATTTATAGTGCTATTCCAAATAAGACTTCACGCAGTGACCACACCAGTTTATGGTTTTAGTATTGTTATAAAATTATCGACTTTAGAATTAATAGTGCACTGTAAAGTTGACTGTTTGGAATAGTTTTATAAATACGAAAGGATGTTCTTCAAATAATATCAACAGAAATTTGATTCAATAACCAAAAAAACGTTGATTCTTGTCAATAGATCCCCATTTCGCTATGTAATTCTGGCTTGATAAGCAATGAAGAAATGCACGCATAAAATCGAGAACATACATTTCCAACCCTCTTCAATTTTTTTTCTGTCCTTGACAGATGAGCCAATCTGCTTGTTTTCCAGTAAAATCCTCTGTGAAAGTTATATGCTGATAGGAAACCGTGTGTGTCAAAAGTTTGGGGTTGGCCCCGGGGTTAGCCAATGCCCGGCCCCTGGGCAGCGTGCAAAATTTGCAAATGTCCCACCCCCAGGACTAAAACGGTGGGCAAATGCCCCAGAGTAGCCGGGGGGGGGGGGGCTACTAGCTTTGTTGTTAAAAGCTTACTCTGTGACCACACGGTCTCTGATCTTTCTAGAAAAGTCAAGAAAAGACTTATCAAGACCAAGCACAAGGTAAAAGTAACAGTCATGGTTAAGATACTGGCAGGACTGACAATATTTTTGGTATAATAGATGATGAACTTCAGAAGTTAAAATGGTTTTGTGTCAAATGTTGATATTTTGGCAAATAACCCTCCTTCAATACTTTTTAGGTCAACCAATTTTTAAGGATGAGGGAAACTCTAGCCTGTTTCTGATACCTACCTCAAATACAGTCAAACCTCTATTAATTTTTTATTTTTTAAACAGAGTACTACTTAAAATAAAATAATTACTTATCTCTGGATCTCATTTTACCTCCCCTCTCACATGTTAAACTGAAAAATATATTATTTGCCTTAATATACTTCCCTCTGTTCTATTTTCTAGTTTAATTAATAAATTAAAGCAATTGATACATCTGACATTATTTCCAAGACTTTACATTCCTGAATTAGGTCAAGTAAATTTGACAGTGAAGTTAATATTGATAAGACTAACAGTTTGCTTAAGGAAAATTATTCACATCAAAACTAAAAAGGCTACAACTAATAACAAAATAAAGCACAGATCAACTGTAAAATCACTTCACATTATTAACAATAAGCTGCAACACATTGATGAATACATCAATTAATGAATTCCAAACAAAAAAATAGAAGACTCGCTTTAAGCTTTTCTCTAGGACTCTATGTACCAAGCAGGTAGGCTCTCACCTGAAGAGAAACAAAAAATAACTTGAATTTATATAAAAACCTCTTCCATAGGCTATATACAGACAGCCCCTCCTCTACCACAGCCAAGTGTCTGAAGCTCATTTGCACAATACAAGTAAAGAGCTTTTACTAGCATCCTGCACTTGGCAATAATTTTGTGGCTCCAAATCAATTCTGCAGGGAGTCATTTTGAATCCAGCTTAGAGCCATAAAATGTGTAGTGGGAGAATTTTATTTTCTGCCATCCATCTCAAATTCGTCAAAACTGTTAGAATCCTTGTTAAAGGATAAAAAGTTCGACTGTCTTAAAACCTCAAAAAATCTCAGTGATTTTGTTACAAATTGCTATATGGCAACTCCTGGGACTCATACGATGAAAACTTCCAAAACCCAATGATTTTGTTGGATTGTTTTGTATGGTAGTGCTTTGTTTATTCAAAAATTGCTTTTGGACATCCTTTTGATTGCAAATGATATTGCACCCTTGATTAAGGTATTTTTTACAGATTTTAAGTCAAAAACAGGATTCTCTTCACAACAATCTTCATCTTCTTTGCTCAAATTTGATCTTTGCGTCCAACCAAATAATATGTGTTTTTTGCATCTTAAGACATTTTTATGTGTCCAGGATGTGGAATGTGGGATATTAAAATCACTGAAAGCTATTAATTTTATCAGTAAAAATCCCATGGTAGAATGAATGTGGGCAAGAAAACTGATTGATTTCTTTAGTTAGTAACATTGAGAAATTTGATATCCATGTAGGTCATACACATATATAGAGAGGTTTCACTTTGTTGTCAACAACAACCCCACCGCTGTTTCCTGTACTTCATTCAATAGAACATTTTACAAAGAATGTGTACCCTTGTCATGTTACTAGTCAACCTTCCTACTTTTCATGTACAAATTTTATAACTTTTATGCTAACAAGCCCTTGGATATTATTACTTATTATTAATGTGAAAAACAGGATTGGTTTGTGATGAAACAAAGTCACCCTCGCTTCTACTAAGGTGATTTGCTGGTTTTGCACGGCACATCTCTTACTGCACATGACAAGATGGCCGCTGTGAAAAAGAGCATCGAAAGTAACATTATTAAAATGAAGTTGACCGAAGTGAAATGCTATTAGAATTTCGGTTGCAGTTGTTTCTTGCCTAGATGAGACTCAAGGTGTTGGGAATGTGCATAACATAGGCAGTACGATTGTTGCTGAGTTCGACTTTCCCACGGAAAACCTCAATGATGGACATTTAACTTGTGCTATCTCACTTTGATTTTCATTTAAGAGCCATCTTTATCACATTGCGTCCTAACTGTGATATCTCAATGTAAACTCTGAAAAAATGGATTTTTTAATGCTTCTTCCCCCCTTCCAGATACATGCCATTTTGAAGCTTGCCACTTGACCCCAATTTTTTATTTTATGATTTTAATAAGAACAGTGCTTCCTTTCAATGGAAAAAAATTGGCATAAATCTATGTTCACTTCTTTGGCAATTTTACTAAATTGTAGAGATTGAGCTATAGTGGGTTGAATAGCGCGTGTCCAAATTAAGTCTACTTTGGAGCGTAAAGTAAAAACAAGGGCATAAAACAGCATTTTTCTGGTATGTAAGTGGACAAACAATACATTTAAATCAAATTCTGTGCGTTACCACACGCACCATCGAAAAAATCTCTCCTTTTTGTCCAGTTTTGGGCTGCGCCCGTTTTTTGCCAAAGAGTCCTAAATACCCGTATTTGCCAGCATAGTGATGTCAAAATGAGCACTGTGACCCCCACTTTTTATTACTTTTTTGTCATCTACTTGACTTGTTACATCAGTGTACCAAGTTTCATCTACAATCTATGTTAGGTTCTTTTCCTAAGAAATCACCTTAAGAGGCCAGAGCACTAAGAACACAGCTGCAAAATGGCCTGTTTGGTTTAACTGGGGGCAGGAATATTTGGCAAGTCAAAATTAATATATTCTTTTGAGCACAATCTAAACATCACTCACCCATAGGGTGAGTCCTCCAAGAATTATGTTTCTATCCCTGATTTCATATTTTACTATTATTACATGTATTATTATTACAGTCATGACAGATCAAGTGCAACCCCATAGATTCCATTTAAAAAAATGATAACTGACTCCGTTAGTCATTGCTGCAACCAGTATCAAATTCAAATCTGCATTCTTGCATGAAAAATGAGTGGTGAATTTTTTTATAACTTCTCTGTATTTGTTGAGATTGAAAAATCTCTGAATGGACAAAATTGCTTTGAATACATTAAATCAAATACAGGAAAATGAGTTGGTAGAATTTGACTCATTACGCATGCAGGATAAAAGAGATGAATCTGAAATCTACATCTACCCACTTAATGAACTTGTGAATAATAAATTCACTAATAGAATCTTAGTGGCAGGGGACACTTGACCTCGCTTGGCCGTAGTACTACAAGTAAACCTACCTCCATCAAATGCAGTTGAGAAAACACAATAACAAATGCTAATTCTAAAGGGCCAAAGTAGTTCAACATCTGCACCCAAACCTGAAAGATTCAGGAAAAAATAAGGCAATACAATAAAATACGTGTGACAGGTGTGTTTTGAAGTTTGCAACAGCAAGCCAAAGCTGAGCCAATGTAAGCCCCATACAGATTGGACACTGAATAGTTTATAAGTAAAGATCTGTATCAGTTAAAATTAATTACTGATACTTGTCAGCTAAGCAGCTGTTTGTATTGTATTCATACAGTCAACTCTCTCATAATGTGACCAACCTTACTGCATGACAAAGTGGTCGCTTACGGGAGTTGGTCGTCTATGGGAAAATCAAGAAACAAAAGCTTAAACTCAACTGATTAACATAATTATATAAAGTTATTACTTTACAAGCTAAATTAGGCAAATGGACAACTGGTAAATGAATAACCCTTGGAACTGACGAAACTTTGTAGATAACATTTTGCATGAATGTAACAATCCACTTTTTTACCTACAGGTCATATTACAGACATCTTTTCTGTAAGTCAGTTGCTATGGTCTGTCATATTAATCCTTTGCACTATTCAAAAAATGAACTTTTGTGATGTTCAAACAGTGGCTGTCTTACAATCATATGTGATTGTGCCAAGTAGTCGCTTATTGGAAACAGAAAACATAAAGTAGTGGTCACTTAAGAAAGAGTTTTTGAAACAGTGTTTGACTGAGAGAAAAACAGTTATTTGTAAAGTGGTCCCTTACAGGAGGTGGTCGATTATGAGAAGTGGTTGCTACGAGATAGCCTGCATGGCAGGTACTTGGAAGTTATGGGCGCAGGAAAGAACAGGGCATGTGAGAGAGACATGCAAGGGGAGAGGAAGCGCCTGCCCGAGAGGCCCATGAAAATCGTTTCTACTCACTTTCTGAGAGTGCAGAAGATTCTTATTGGTTAAGAGGCTCCTGAGGGGATAAGTGTTTGTGTTAGGCGAGAAAACTGTCAATCAAAGTAAACATGAGATTGTTTTTACACATAGTAGTACATGGACAGACAAGGCAGTGAAGGCCTTTTATCACACTACTCAATGGTATGATCGAAAGTCATTTCAATGGGACTACGTGGCAGAGGCAGCGACAGACAAAAAGTTTGTTGAATCATTGAAATGAAGATTAGAGGAAAGATTCTTTGCTCAAAAAGAACTTGGCGGCTTGCAATGTGGATGGAAGGGGTACCATCAAGTCTTGGACAGGATTGATGAAATGAAACAATTTCCACTGAGGGGCATGAATTTGAAAAACCTTTTGCTATTATTATTATTTGCTTGAAGGCAACCTGAAGTCTGCTGTATAAAAATGTCTCGGTAGAGTTTGTGTTCTGAAGTTTAAGTCCATTTAGTAAAACAAGTCTGCTCCAAAAACAGTAAAAGCAATGGCCATTTTCCACGTACTCTGCTATCTTTGGTGTCTGAACAGTAGTGATTTTGTAATATCAGATAGCAACATTCAGCTTTTTATGATACACAGCATGCATTCTTTAAACAATATCCATTTTTGACTTTGTTTTATCGTATTTTTGTTAAAAATGATTAAATGCTGTGTGTTTATCGTTGGTTTATTGCTCCATCTCTCTATAATCAGATAACCTAGCTGATCTTTATAACAGTTAGACCGAGGATATAAATGTACAATGCTTTGGCACGCTTTGTTTGTGTAAGGTCAATCAATTTCTGTAAAAAATTTTGAAAGATCACGCAGCAGCTGCCAGGTAATTGGATAGGGGGCCGGAAACAACTTTCATAGCCTATAGGGAAGGCACTCCCTCTCCCCTTGCGTGTCTCCCTCATATGCCCATTCTTTATTGCGCCCATAACTTACCAGTGCCTGCTACGCAGGCAAGCTATGAGAGAGTTGACTGTACAGGGTGTCCCAAAAGTTCGTTCCTCTACTTTATAAGTCTGTATTTCAGTACGATTGAACTTGTTAAGCAAATCATAAAAGCAAAAGTTGTGTCTTAATTTTATTCACTATTTTCATACTTGTTGTGCCATCTTTTGACTCGAATATTCGATTTGTGTACTCCCACACCAAAGCTGCCCATACGCGAGTACATTTTCCAGGCACATGCTTTTTGTATTTTATAGCCCGAATTGCTCGAACTCCTTCCTTGTATTTTGTGAATACCACGAAAGATAAAGCACTTTAATGCAAACAAGTTCAGCTAGGTGAGAGCATAAGCATACATGTACACTTTGATTTACTGGATATTTGTTGTAGAAACTGCTAAAAGACTGGAAAAATCCGAATGTTGGGTAGTAAAATGATCATGGAGTAATGAAGGTTTTGAAGGCAAGAAACTAAGGGGAAGACCAAAAGTCCTGAAGAAAGCGGCTAAAATAGTTTTAAGGAAGCCTAGATACAAAGTAGGAGACTCTACGAGGAAGCTCTCACATAGTTAGAGAGCCAAGTCCAGAAAGGGTTATGAAAAGCTGTTTAAAATACTTAAAGTTACAGGCCCCTGAGATGGCAAAAAAAACCTCTGCTTAGTCTGCCAAGTAACGCCCAGCTGGTCTCAAATTTGTAAAGAAGCACAAAAGCCTTGCTGTGGGAGGAGGCCGGGATGATTATCTTTTATGGATGAATGCCCAATATGTATTTTTTTTAGCTGCCTAAAATAAAGAAATATTGTTTGGGGGTGGAGTGGCTCCTGCACACTAGGTGATAAAAAGGCTCAAAATGGATCATCTGTGGGTCTACACACTGTATCCCACTTCATGCCGCAACGGCTACAGAATGTGATAAAAAATCAAAAAGCGCATGCCAGTTACTGAAATTCTGAGTACATGTACTCGTTAAAGAAATAAACATCTCCTAGAAATTTCATATAAAAATAAAGTTTTGATTAAAAGTTATAGTGCGTGAAATGAGAGGAACGAACTTTTGGGACATCCTGTATACTGTTCAATAATATTCATCAACCTAGTGAAGTTGTACATTTTACTGGGGTATAAAGAAGTGTACACGTGACTCAAATACTACCTGCTGATTTGTCATAACTTAAAAGAATACTACATGAATTTAGAAAACAATAAAACAATAAAAAGCAGTTGACCATGCTACAGCTGTACTAATGCTCAATACATCAACAATAGCCATGCTGATGTATTAACATTATTCCAGCCTGTAAGTATAGTTACAATTTAAATTATTCACTCACCCATAACTTGTCAAAGAGGATTGCCAACATGGTGAACTGTAAAACGGCATCAGCACTAGATACTTTCCACAGCCACATAACTGCCCATGTGCTACGGTAACTCAGGACCTCAGCTTGTAAATCCTGTTGAAACCAAAATAAAATTCAGTTACACCACTCTGACAAAATTCACAGTCAAGCCTGCTCAAAGACAAGATAATAACAACAGTCCATCCTTGTCCAAGGCATCTTTTGTTATTATGAATAAATTTGCTTCTTCCTGTCTGGGACAGGAAATTCAGCAATCACAATGTTATATGGATTGTATTAATTTTCTACACTGGAGGAAGAGTAAGTTACGATCAGATCTACCAAATACACAGTTCTCAAATTTAGGAAGTGTCAGCTGAAAATGCTTAATATTTCCCAACATTCACACAAAAACCTATATTAGCACAGCTCACAAAAATGATGTCAGAATTGCTACTTTGCAATGTTTGTCTGACTTGTTATTACAATCACAAAAGTCCCAAAGCATGACATTTAAATGACAATGAACAACCAAAGTCAGGAATTTCATTAAATGTGAGGGGACTATCTAACACCGTGAAAAGGTGTGAAATATTTTGATGGCTGAAAACTAAAAAATACACAATATTCTTTCTATGAGAGGTCCATTGCTCGAAGGACAAAGAAAAATGCTGGACTTCAGAATGGGGGTATTCAGCTATATTTAGTAGCCTCTCCACTGCTAGTGCCAGAGTGAGCATGCTCTTTAACAATACTTTTTCCTTCCACATCCTTAAAACTAACTCAGACCCAAAAGCTAGATTCATAATTGTAGACATAAAAACCGACAGTAAGACCTTGATATTAGCAAATATCTACGCGCCAAATAATGACGACCCCTTCTTCTTTGAAAACGTTTTTGAACGCCTTTTTACTTTCGAATGCGAAGAAATAATTTTGGGTGGTGATTTTAATCTAGTTTTAGATGTAAAATAAGACAAAAAAGTTGGGAACGCTGTAGCACACAAAAAATCCTTGTAAAAAGGTAAGTATATCGTTGACTTCTTAGACCTAACAGACATTTGGCATCTTCTAAATGTGGATACAAAACCTTTTACTTGGAGAAAAGGAAATCCGGAGAAACAATGCCGTCTAGACTTTTTCTTAATTAGTTCTAGTTTAACATCAACAACTTCAAGGCTTCCAGGCTTTGGAACGGACCATTCACTCATAACATAATACTTAACAAATAACACAGGGGACCAGGATACTTCTTTCTTGCATTGTCAAATGGAGAGTATATAGATTTAACTACGAAGCCAATAACTAAGGAAGTAGCAAATGAATAAAAAAACAATAATGAGGTGGACGCCACTCTCCTTTAGCGATGGGATACTATGAAAATGACAGTTTGATCAAGCTCACTGTACTACGCAAAAAAAAGGACCACGAAAATTGTTTAGAAAATGACATTGCATTCCTTGAAAAAAGACTAGATGAGGGCAATTTAATGGAAACAGAAAAGAATCAAATACTGGATGAGCTGGCCCCTAGAAAACTACAAAGGGAAGAAATCTCTAAACACAGAACGAAGGGCCCAATTATACGATCGGTACAACGTTGGTACAACAATGGGTAAAGTACATCCAAAGTATTCTTAATAGTTGGTCGACGAGAAGACTGACTCTCTTGGGTAAAATCCCCATAATAAAACCTCTAGCCATGGTTCAAATAGTCTATCTGTTGTCATCCCTACCATCACACCAAAAAATAGCTCAAGATATAAATTTGATATTATATGATTTCCTGTGGGATAGCAAAGGCAACAAAATTAAACGAACAGAAATCTAATGACTACGATCAGGGCAGACTAGAGATGATTGATATACAAAGTTCTAATGCATCAATGAAAATGAAATGGGTTCAAATCTACCTAAACACAGAGGACAAAGACAAATGGAAGGTTTTTTTTTTTCGATTACTACCAGGTACTCGGAGAGATACGGCGGGATATTATTGTTCTAGTGCGCACAATTTAAAACAAAAAGATGCATCACAACTGAAAATAAAAGACCCTTTTTTAAAAGAAATTGAAGAATACTGGTCCAACTTAAATTTTAGTGAGAAGAACCCAGTTTTTGACTCAACATGTAACTGGCATAACTCACTGATTACGATCGCATAGAAATTTTTTTTTCTCTTTACAAAATCGTGATGTAAAGCAGGTGGTAATATATGTGCAATATTGATCATACTGGCAAATATAGTCTTTGCTAGTTACATTACTTTGTTATGTAAAAAAAAAATTAAAAGTTACTGTTTCTTCATGTATAAGACATAAGTGCAAAGATAATTTTAATTGTAATTTTCAGTAACTTTTTAGCTACTTTTTTCTAGTTTCTTTTACAATTTTTGTCATTTTTCCTTTTTATGTAAATGTGTAATAAAGTGTTGTTGAGGATTAAAAAAAAACAAAACGAAACAAAATAAAAGTGAGGAATTTGCCGATGTTAATTCAATCTGTTTGTCTGAGTCCCAAACAATAATACAAACTAATAATCTGAATCCACCCGCTGCCTGAAATTGCAAGGTGTCTGTAAAAGTAAGGTGTCCTCAAGGCAGGAGATGAAGGCACAATATAAAGTGTATAAGTAACTAAGGCCCAGTTCAGATGCCAAATTTTCATGAGCCAAACCTAATACACTGAAGTAAGTACATGAAACGGTCCGTGTCTGAATCAATAAAATATTATTAGAAACCCTTCTAAGATTTCAATTTGGAACAGCTCAGCCGTTCTTCCCGCCTCGCCCTGCCAGGAATTTTGACTTTGGAGAGGCTTTGATTCAGATGTCGTACGTTTCATGTACCAAATCTAATGCATAAAAAAAAAGCAGACTTGCCACATCTCACTACTTTGTCGCAAGTCTCAATATTTCATGATCCATCTTACACTCTCATGAGTTGGCAACTAATTCCTCACACTTTCTTGAAAAGTCAAACTCCAAAAAATTTTGGAGATGTAGGCTTGGCGCACGCTACTGGTGTACACGGCTAAGAATCTCACATCGTTTGGCTCTTATGAACTTATTAAAACTNAGGGCAATTTAATGGAAACAGAAAAGAATCAAATACTGGATGAGCTGGCCCCTAGAAAACTACAAAGGGAAGAAATCTCTAAACACAGAACGAAGGGCCCAATTATACGATCGGTACAACGTTGGTACAACAATGGGTAAAGTACATCCAAAGTATTCTTAATAGTTGGTCGACGAGAAGACTGACTCTCTTGGGTAAAATCCCCATAATAAAACCTCTAGCCATGGTTCAAATAGTCTATCTGTTGTCATCCCTACCATCACACCAAAAAATAGCTCAAGATATAAATTTGATATTATATGATTTCCTGTGGGATAGCAAAGGCAACAAAATTAAACGAACAGAAATCTAATGACTACGATCAGGGCAGACTAGAGATGATTGATATACAAAGTTCTAATGCATCAATGAAAATGAAATGGGTTCAAATCTACCTAAACACAGAGGACAAAGACAAATGGAAGGTTTTTTTTTTTCGATTACTACCAGGTACTCGGAGAGATACGGCGGGATATTATTGTTCTAGTGCGCACAATTTAAAACAAAAAGATGCATCACAACTGAAAATAAAAGACCCTTTTTTAAAAGAAATTGAAGAATACTGGTCCAACTTAAATTTTAGTGAGAAGAACCCAGTTTTTGACTCAACATGTAACTGGCATAACTCACTGATTACGATCGCATAGAAATTTTTTTTTCTTTTTACAAAATCGTGATGTAAAGCAGGTGGTAATATATGTGCAATATTGATCATACTGGCAAATATAGTCTTTGCTAGTTACATTACTTTGTTATGTAAAAAAAAAATTAAAAGTTACTGTTTCTTCATGTATAAGACATAAGTGCAAAGATAATTTTAATTGTAATTTTCAGTAACTTTTTAGCTACTTTTTTCTAGTTTCTTTTACAATTTTTGTCATTTTTCCTTTTTATGTAAATGTGTAATAAAGTGTTGTTGAGGATTAAAAAAAAACAAAACGAAACAAAATAAAAGTGAGGAATTTGCCGATGTTAATTCAATCTGTTTGTCTGAGTCCCAAACAATAATACAAACTAATAATCTGAATCCACCCGCTGCCTGAAATTGCAAGGTGTCTGTAAAAGTAAGGTGTCCTCAAGGCAGGAGATGAAGGCACAATATAAAGTGTATAAGTAACTAAGGCCCAGTTCAGATGCCAAATTTTCATGAGCCAAACCTAATACACTGAAGTAAGTACATGAAACGGTCCGTGTCTGAATCAATAAAATATTATTAGAAACCCTTCTAAGATTTCAATTTGGAACAGCTCAGCCGTTCTTCCCGCCTCGCCCTGCCAGGAATTTTGACTTTGGAGAGGCTTTGATTCAGATGTCGTACGTTTCATGTACCAAATCTAATGCATAAAAAAAAAGCAGACTTGCCACATCTCACTACTTTGTCGCAAGTCTCAATATTTCATGATCCATCTTACACTCTCATGAGTTGGCAACTAATTCCTCACACTTTCTTGAAAAGTCAAACTCCAAAAAATTTTGGAGATGTAGGCTTGGCGCACGCTACTGGTGTACACGGCTAAGAATCTCACATCGTTTGGCTCTTATGAACTTATTAAAACTCAGATCGCATCGATATTTGGCAAGAAGTTAAAGTTTATAAACAGCTTTTCATTGAATATTTTTTTTCTGGCTGTAAGACCAAAATAAAATTAAAATATGAAAAATATGGCTCAAAATGGGACCATTTTTTAACAGCTCGCGTAACATTTATAGTCTAACCATGCATATTGTGGGATTTCTCTATTTCTATTAATGGTACTTTGGAAAAATTTCTCCACAGAGGTCAGTGACTTATGAGTACTAACTGTATTAAAAATTACTGAACATAATGGCAAAACAACAAAGTTTAGGGCGTTTTCAGAAAGATGTTCTGTCTACATCCGATCTCTGTGCAGTGCGAACGTCAATTTAAAAGGTAGCTTTTGATTGACTTTCTTTTGTTGTTAAGAGAAGAAATAATAATTTTTGGAATGCTCATAAGTTAAACCTTACTTATAGACTAACTGTTAAGACTTTGGGAAACCCATTTTTATGCTAAGATCAAATATCTAAGGTTAGACAGCATTTTTTAACGTGAAAATTCATAAACCGTGCGTTGGACTGAAAATCGGATTCTAGAGTGTGCTTTGGCACAAAGGTTTTGTGCCTAAAATGTGCCTAAGATGTGCATAAAGTGTGCATTTTAGTTTTGAAAAATGGCCTAAGCCGTGCCTAAGTTGTGCCCAAACTGTGCCTAATCTATGCACAAGTTGTGCCAAACTATTGAGTCACTCGGAAAATCATGTCCAGCCTATCGAGCTCCACAGCGAAAGAAAAGTGCCCACGGCAATTATGTCAGTTTTAAGATTTACGAAGTCTAGAAACACGGTCTGACGACCTTTTTATCCCCTAATAAGAAATAATATGACTCAGAATACGGTTAGAGACAGCAGGGAAAGCCCCTACAAACAAGAAAATGGAATCTTAAACAGGTTAGCGTATTTAAAATAAGTGCTCAGCTCAATTACGTGTTGATATGATTTCATTGATTCAAGAATTTCACTGATGTTAAAAAATTTCGAAGTGGGCTTCTTCTCCCCGTCTTAACAGAGCGTTTAGTTGGAACGAAATATTTGTTTTTTTCAGGAGGGCAGATTTGCATTCAAAAAAAGAATTTACTTGTGATATGACTTATAAAATGAAAATGAAAAAATTGATTGCACGCCGATGAGTTTTCAAGCAAAATTGGCACGTCTCATCGATTATTATACGATCAAAGCTTAATTTGCTAACAGAGCCAGAAAACAAAAACAAACAAGCAGCTCAAATTATTTTACTACTAAGTGTAAATTCTACTTTTTTAGTTAGAGAAATATTTTTAAAAAGCAGCCGCATTTTGTACCAAAAAACAACACGCATTGGCATGAAGGTTTCAAATTACCACTTTTCATGTTGTTATGCAAATTCAGGCCAATTTTACGGCGATCGCAAAAAGTATTTTCTACAACTTTTATTGGCTATTTTTGTGCCTTACTTCTTTAGCTTTGTTTTTGTTATTATGGCTTCGACTTTCTTCCACGATTTCTTTTAGAAACGAAAGAAAGCCAGTCTATAAAATTGCATGGCAATCGAAAAGGTTCAGACCGCACATATCGCGTGTGAATTTCCACTTTATCCTTGGAGTAAACATGGACTGTCGAAGAATACTTTAATTTTCCTGACTTTCGGCGCGGCTCAAAACTTACACTTCCTATACTTCTAACTGCATCGTGTTTGATCTGAATTATTTTTGTAATTCGTACCAAGTTTGTTCTTTTTTGCAAGTCGGGTTACAAAGATTTTCAAAAAAGTGCCCAGCGTTGAATATTTGTGCCTAAACCGTGCCCAAAACGGCCAAAAGTGTGCCCAAACTGTGCCTAAAATGTGCCTTAGCAATATTTAAAACGTGCCTTAACTGTGCCTAAAGTGTGCCTAATCTGTGCCTTTACATGTTTTTTTCCCGTGCTTTGGCACAAAAACCGTGCCTTTTCTTGAGCGCGAATCGTGCATAAGGCACGGTGTTACGCTCGTGTACACCAGTAGCGTGCGCCAAGCCTGTAGGGTTTGCTTCCAAGCTAGATATTGATTGATAGCCAGCTTGATCCAAAGAACACGTTTAACGGTTGCGTTTTATGGATCGACTTACTGTTTCTATTGTTTTAAGATGACCGCCAACAAAACATAGAAATCACAAACCCTAAACAGCAAAAATACTGCTCCACCTTACTGCTCCAAAACCCATAGTATGAAATTTGGGACATCTCACAAATTTTTACCCATTTCTAGGTACAGAATCTCACATTTTTTGCCATTTGGGAGGTTGGCAAGTCTGGAAATGAGCATTTTTGTCGTTTGAATTTAAGTTGGCTGATATTAAGATCATAGTCTGAATCAATTCAGCCCATCTAAATTACCTGGTTCAGCTTTAATTCAAATTAGGTTTGGCTCATGAAAAGTTCAGCATCTGAGCCGGGCCTTAGAGTTTTTTTGGTTTGTTTTTATTGGGAACTAAGAATAACCAGATATGACTGATATTCTTTATGTTTAAAAATGTGGAAAAAGAGGAAAGAGGATTGTTCATACTGAGTCGGCCATGAGGACAGGGTCCAAAATTGTGCCCTCCTGGTCACCAATGCGACTAAAAATTCAGTTCTGGCGACCAGAATTTCATAGCTGGACACCAGCTGGTAACTTGTAGGGCTGGTTGTTATTGCAGACTTTCATGCTCCGAGAAAGTGATTAAGAATTGAAACCTCAAAGCTATTTGCCCACAGGTGTCTTACTTTTTGTCCTGCTATATTTTTTAATTAAAAGTGAAACAAATCTTCCTGTAAATATACCTGCACAACAACTACGATCAATAAGAGCTGAACATTTCCAAGCCACCATGTTGTTTCCAGCTGAACTATGCAAAGTATGTTATGTATGCGGAATTATACTGTACCCAAGGCTGTGCTCTAACGGCGCCCGGTCGCCTGAGGCGACTAACATTTAGCTTCGGGCGACTGAAAAAACGGTCCCGGTCGCCCGGCCGGGCACTCTTGCTTCTGGTGCAGTGTTCAGTTAAGCGGGCAGAAAAATTTAACATACTAGTGTTGGCTTGTTGAGTCGGAGTTTACTAAACCCTACAGAAAATGTTTTTACTAATGTTGTACGAAAGAAACGGGCGCGCGTCGATGTTCAAAGGTCGTTCTGCATGATTTCACATGTAACATAATCCATCACTTTGAACGTGACAAGCGGCACGGATTTCGATTTGTACCGCTTCTTAAAATAGTTTTAAAATTTTTTGTTTGAGATAGAATGGTTCATTAGGTACAGTTTTTAGGAGAAACTGTCAATACTTTTCTGACAGACGTAGAGCGCGGATGGCGACGCGGAGTAATTTATTTTTATGTAAAACGGAAATTGCCGTATTGAGCAGTATGCGAATGTAATGTTTTTACGGTTTTTGGCTGCTGTGTCTGCTTGGCTAAAACATAACTTATGATTGTTTTCTTCCCTTTACACAAGATAGCGAAGTATAAAAAGAAAAGATATGATCGTTCTGATCGTTTTTATTGTTGTTTTAGAAACAGGGCAGTTCCACGTTGTCTTGGTATTTTACGTATCGATAACTAAATTCGCATGCAGGCATATATAGGCTAAATTTAGCGGCCAAAAAAAAAACACGGAAAGAAGAGCTGGTTTACGCTTCGACCGTATCCACAAAAAGCTCAATTATCCTAAAAGATTCACTGATAATATAGAAAAGGAAATTAAAGATGACTTATTTTTTATTGAAACAATAGGTTTGGGGCCGCGGCGGTTTCACTGTTTCACGGAATTTTTCACGGGAACTTGAGTTCGATCTGCCCCGTATAAAACTCCGTCACATTATATTTCATGCCGCATTGATTCACCTTTTGAAAATTTATTTTTTAGTTTAGTATTACTGATAAAAAGCACAGTTTTCCTTGACCCAAAGATCTTAATGAAGTTTACGTAAACCTGCTGAATTTTTTTACTTTTCCCTCTTTAAGACCTAAACAATTCGGCGGCATTGCTAACGTTTCTGGTTTTAAATCTGAATGGCGCGAAAACTTTGATGGGTTTCATAAGACAACATGCGGGTTTTGGTCGAATCCAAAAGCTAAAATTACCGAGTTTGGTGATCAGCAGGCCAGTAAGATTCGTGTGCGTAAAAAATACTTGGTCATCAGATGTACTCGGGCGACCAACTTGAGAGGCCTGGGCACCCCTCCCCGAAAATTTTATTCGGGCGACCAACTTTGGGGTCTGGGCGCCTTAACTAAAATGCTTGGGAGCCCGAAGGGCTCCCTGAAATTTTCCTTAGAGCACAGCCTTGTGTACCCATATGCTATGAGTAATGTGGCACGGTTGTGACACTGGTACAGGCAACATGGCAACTTGACTCGTGACTTGTGTTTATGTTTCATGTTTCGTGGTAGTTATCAGGACGAAATAGAGTTTTGATGTGATAAGTGCAGTCATAGGCAGATAGCTTTCTGTTCCTACATTCCAGGTCAGATAGCTTTATATCTCCAAAAAGTAATTTGTGAAAAAAAGAAATAAATAAGACTTCACTTGTACACGTTTAGTTGTTTTCTGGTATTTGGAACGGAAGTAGAGCAATTTTTAAGCATAAAAATGTCCATACCATACATTCTTTAATTTGCGTTTTAACTTTTATTTGCAAAAAAGGGAGGGGGAATTTTTGGCGACCACAATTTGCCCTCTGGTGACCAAAAATTTACACTTGCTCGCCAGTTGGCGCCCATATTAAAAAGTTAATTTTGGACCCTAGAGGACCTGTACTTCCAATACCAGTGATTTTGTTACCTCTGTGTCCTGAGTCCCTGGTGCATAAAAATCCCCAAAGACACAAAATAATTCATGACATGCATCCCTTAGGACGCAAAGAACGATTTTTTGGTAGAATATCCTGTTTGTGTGATTTCTGTTACTGTTGTTTAAAGATGCATATTAATTTTAGTTTAGTCTTTTTTGTGCTTTAAATATATAGAAGGACTAAATTTTACTTTCAGTGAACTGTAATAGAGTCTCCACATTAACTGTCTGGTTACACAAAGGCCCAAGCATTTTCAATTTTGGACTCCTTGTTTTTTTGAACTGAGACTCATTGGTTAGGGACAGGGACTAATAATTTTTCACAAGATGAGTCCAAGGACTCACCATAACTATTTGTAACAAAATCACTTCAATACACAGTAATTAAAAGAGCAACTACAGTAAACACCTGCACAAAAGAACCTATGGCAAAAATTTGCCACTCTAATACCCAAAAAGACAAGAATCTGTTTAGCCAAGCAAGAGCAAGCAGGTTCTTATGTAAGTAGGTTATTATGATAAACAATATTCAATCAAGGAGTCTGACTTTGAGTGTGCGATTGAAACGTCACAATCAATATCAAAGTGACAAACATGAGACAAACGATAAAACTAAACCCTTTATAGACATTACCCATGGCGATTAATATCTTTCATGACCTTGAGATTGCTGTTGTTCGAAGGCCGATTAGTCCTAAATTGAGGTTAAATTTTAATCCTGGTATCTTTTTGTTTTACTCAAAAGCATTTTCTTCGATAATTTTCTCTATTCTTTTAAGATCATCGAATCATCATGTTGCAGACAAAAGTACTAAACTGAATTTGCTTTTTAAGCTTTCAAATCGGAATTAAAATTTCACACTATTCCTGGCATGGGTTATCTTAACCCAGCTTTCAACAACTCGGCTTAGGATGCTCTCTGAGTAATCTGGTCAAAAATTCTTCAAGACATACACGTAGCCCAGTTAAAATAGGATTTTAACAAGGTTAATATAAATGAATACCCAGACTCAATTCTGTTAAGTTAAAAATTAACATGATTTTTAAGAAAATTTTTTAATGAAGAAAGCAAAAGGTGCAAAGGATCAACATACTGGATACCATCTCAGAAGAAATTATTGTCATCATGGAAAGAATAAGTAGTTAATGAAGTAGACATAGTAAATGAAGACTAAAACCATTCCAAAGGTTAAAATCGCAGAGAACCAGCAAATGATCAGGAAAACTAATTTCCCCAGTCTCCACCATGATCTTGTCTCTCTTTCAAGAAAGAGAAAATCCTAATGTTTGATTGTGTTCGACTGAGCAATTTTTTAAATTTGATTATGTTGGATTGCTGAACTTGACCAAACTCCAGCCATGAATTGAGTTTAATTAAGTTCAACAGAGTTATATAAAAAATGTTTGTCTAACTTCAAAGATGACAAAGGCTTATTAAGGTTGAGTTGGACCCAAACAATAGGCTATTGCATTTATTTCAATATCTGTACCCCCCCCCCCGCCCCCCAGTGAAGGACTTACCCTTTCTCCCTACCCGTGAAGATCAAATATAATTGCCAGGGATTTCAATATAAAGCACAAACGACCGACAAAAAACATTGGTTATTTCCCTCAGCGAAGTCAGCTACTTTTCTCCCCGAAAGAAGAGGCAACTAGTGCTTTAGTTACAATGTCGTAAACAAAAACATATCACAAAATCTGAATGAAAATGTAAAGGCCAACTGGTTTTGATTTATGCTTTAGTTGTGCAAATGCTGTATTTCAGTCAATTCTTCACACCTTTCTATGGAAGTTTAAACAGAATTTGCTCTCGTTCAAATGTACGTTTGTCCATTGTTTGTAAGTTGCGTGGCTGATAAATCGGAACCTGAATGAAAGCTACATTTTCTTTAATGAAAAACACACTTCTGTACTCAATTTAGTCCCAGAATGCTGTAAATCACATTTTAGGGCTCTGAAATTTCAAACATTTCTGGGGGAGCATGCCCCCCGGCTTCCTTAGGGGCACGGGATTGACGGCCTCTTGTTGATACAGTTGGGTACTCCATTCAAACCTGCTGGCTACTTCGTTTATTATTTAAACCCTTGAATTGCTTTCACCCCTGAAGACTTCCATAAAATATGGGTCTTCCTCCAGAAGAATATGCGTCTGCCCTAAAAAATTTTATGGAAATTAAAGTTTCACTGCCGAAGAATTCCATACTTTTTTACTGCACCCCTTAAAAAATCCTCAATTTTTCTTCAGCTGGTCTTTGACTGGGGGGGCATGGACACTAAATGCACTAGCCCAATAGAAAGAAACTTGACAAATCTCTTAAAATTGATTTTTCACATTTCACTTGTTCTTGCATGTAACATGGTTATTTTGGTCAATACTTTCAAGGAAAGATACACAGTGGATTATTGCTTAAAATTAATGTAAGATACCGCATTTCCTCAAATAATAGCCGTCCCTTGATTAATCGCCCTCCTTTGATGGAAATATTTGAAAAAATCGCCTCCCTCGAATAATTGTCTCCCTTCACCCCTCTCGCCATTTTCTCTTTCTTTTATCCCCTCACTGCCAAGTTGAAGTGGACTCTGATCCAGCAACACTGATCAGTGATGAATCAAGTTCTGAAAATTAATCATGGAACCAAATTTGGAACACTTTAAAAGCCCATATTCAGTTTATTTGATGGGATATTTTTTATAAAATGTGTGATTCCAGAAAATATCCATACCCCCTCCCCCCCCACTGGCTGGTCAATGGAAATTCCTAGGGGATGGAAGGGCTAAAGGGTAGAAATTTCCGAGGGGTCTGAGAGGTGCCGATGAGAAGAATTTTCCACAGGGTTGTAAAAGACGCAATCGATCGTATGAGACATACTTATCAAGTATATGTGGATTATTTTGATTTGTAGCACAACAAAAATTAGAAATAGATGCCCTTTCGAGAAAAAAGTTAACGATTTTTGACTCAAACGTCTTCTTCTTTGCTGGGAGTTCACTATCATCTCACCGACGATGAACAGACTTTTAATAAATATCGTCCTTTGCGCAAATCGATTGCAATTCTCGACAGGTCCCTTGCTTCTCGGGGAATAAATTTTAGTGCATCGATTAATAAGAATTTCCTTGTCAAACATGTATCTAGATTGCGGACTCAATTGCAGATTAGTCTGATAAAAACTTAAGCAAACGTTGTCTATCTTGGAACGATATTTCTCGCGCTTCTTGTAAAAAACTGTATACAAATTTCTGTTGACATTCAGCTGCATTTAGTGGGCTTATCGACAAAGCGTTATGTGACGACCCAAATAAGAGCGTTGCTGTATTTTATGGATGACTTCTAATAAAGTACTGCTGAAGGTAAGCTGTTTGTCCAACAGACTTCTTGCCAAATCAACTTTTGCCCGAAAATATTAACAATTTGTTTTTTCCGTGGAGGAGACTTTCGATCATGTGCTAGGCAATGCAATAGATCATGTTTCACCAATGTTTATTTCTGAACATGAATCGATGTAAATATGGGACGCAAAATGAATATTTGCATATTTTGTTCTTCTATAACCCAAATAAGTTTTTTTATTATTTCGGAAATTTGTTAAACTGCAAGTGTAATTCATTCGAAGTTAAACTTAATTACAAACATCGACTTTGTGGTGACTTTAGAATCCGAGGCCAAACATTTAACGTTAAACTTTGTTGTAAGTTAGTTTTTTAGAAGATCCATTTTGAAATTCGAATATCTTTTCATAGTTTAATGTTAAATCAATAGTTAACTTTGAAGACATGCTGTAAATGTTGCATTTGAGATGAAACTGACTTAGACTAGACGTGTACATAGTGAAACTTAGTTACAGTGTCAGAAATCAACTTTGGGACTGGAAGCCGAAAATATTTACCGATAAACTTTGTCCGTAAAATAGATTTGTTTTGAAATGCGAAAATGTTCGTATAGTTTTATTTCAATGAATAGTTCAAAATTACTTGAAGTTATCCTGTAAATGTTTTCTTGAGATAACATAGCCTGAAATTCATCCGATTGCTTCGAGTCGTTTTCTCCTCTCAACGTCTGAATTGACCGGCCGTTAATGCCGTCCTGTGACATCACCCACTACCCGAAAACTGGGTAGTGATTTTGATTGGTTGATTGACTAAACATTCGCATAATTATGTATAATTATGAAAAATTTTAGTGGTATTGTCCTTGATATTCAGCGGATCGCATCCCTGGCATTCTTTCGTGTAGTTCAAACATTTTGATAATCTTTATCTTAAACAGCAAAATTGCCCTTGTCTTCGAAACTGAAATGCTAAATTGAACTGCGGATGAAGAATCATTGCGGAGAGTCGGTAGGTTTTTCATTTAGAGCCGCTTTGTGGTTTCGGCCACCGGTGATTTTGTTTACGCGAAGTTTTCTGAGATCAATGTTATAATTCGACCTTCTTGCTATTTTACTGTCAAGTATAATAATTCTGTTAGCTTTCTTTCTTGTCTTCTTGTTTTTTTTTTCCTTCATCAAGGACCAAATAGCTTCTTTTCAGTTAGAGCAAATCATTGTGTTTTTGAACTAAGTGTTCCATGTGTGTGTTTATTTGATTGCGTGATTGTGACCGAGTTTGATTATAGAATTCGGTACAACCGGTTCGAAGTTGTATTGCATGCAGTTTATAGTTTGAACGTTAAACATGAATTACGATAAAAAAAAATAAAGCAGTTCTGTATCATGCAGACATTTCCAAACGATATTTCTCGGTTTGCCACTTGAAAATCGTGTTTTACTTTTTGCATGAATTAAAGCAAAGGTCAAGGAGAAGTGACATCACTGGACGGCATTAACGGCCAGTCGATTCAGACGTTACTGAGGGAGTAATTAACGACTCGAAGTAATCGGATGAAATTCAGGCTAGAGATGACATAAACTTATTAATCTCTATTTTCGTGACTCGCGCGTTTTGCTGGACTGCTCATAGTCTATCAAGCGTGCTCTACCTGTGTAAGAGATACATATTGCCTTGTAAAAGATTACAAATAGGTCAAAGATTACAGAAAATTGTGCCTTAAGATGAGAACAGTTAATTTTTAGGCGGTACAAGGTCGATAATCTCTAAATGCGGCAAATTAAGGCCATGAAAAAGAAAATAGCAAATTCCTGGGGGGTGGGGGGTTATATATGACCCCTCTGGAACGGAAATTCTGATGGGGTGGGGGGGGTCTGATCGGAAGAACCATCCGTGGGGGGGTATGGATATTTTCTGGAAACACAATCACACAATAAAAGAAAATAATTAGGGCACGACTTTTAGTGAGCATCAATAATTGATATAGTCACCTCCCTCAAATAACCGCCTTCCCTCGAATAACTGTCCCCCTTTTGAAGCGAAAAAAGAAATAATCGCCCCCGTCTATTATTCGAGGAAATAACGGCAAACTTACATTGTGTGGTTCCAGAAAATATCCAGACCTCCACCACGAAGGGAATTGGAAATTCCAGGGGGGTGGGGGAGTCAGAGGCCCAGGAAATTCCCGAGGGGAGGGGGGTTGGACAATAAAATCACTTTCCGGGGGTAAATATCATTTCATTTTCGACCTGAGTTCGAACGTTGCTTCTTACCGAACTGTTAGATCATTTTTAGAACATAAATAACTTGAAATTTATCATTTAAGATTGTTCCTTTTGTTCCTTTTCCAAAAGTGTTTTGGATGTAATTTCAAAGGAATTAGGACGACTACAACTCGTTTTATCGCAAGCTCGTATATTCGGCCGCCATTACTCGTTACCAGTCTCCCTTAAGACATCAACGCGTGCAACACATCACGTTGCGTCAGTCGATCGATGGAAGAACCGTAGAGTGGCAATTTTACTTCACGAAGTACAAACTATACATTGTAACCACTTTAGAATGTAGAGTTTTTATTCTCCTTTTCATTTTCCCGTAATTTTGTGGTTGAAGATGTGGCATGTTCATGATCGAATTCTCGCTCGCTGAAATGGTGTTGATTTCACCAAACATTACGGGCATCGGGCATAACGCACGTCGCATCAGTCGATCGGAAAACAGTAAATTGAACTTGGTTTCCCTTCAAGATGCAGGGGGTATTCATTGTTATGAATTCAGAAGTCAGAGTTTTTATTCTTCTCTTAGTTTTGCCTTAATTTTGGGGTTGAAAGTTTGACTTGTTCACCATATAGCATTCCTGCACGACTGGTTAACTCTACCAACATTACGCCTACCTTACGTCCATGAAGACAAATAACAAATCGTAACCTTGCCCTGATTAAGGTAAATTCATATATACAACCGACTTGTAATTTTATCTATTTCATTTAAAGTTAGGGATGAGCAAAAACTGCAGATTCGGTTACTTTGTGGTGGTGTAGTGAGTTTTAATGTTGCGAGATCACTCCAATAAATGGAAACAGAAGCATACAAGCTTCTGATGGAAACCTTTACGTACTAACAATAAAATGCCTCATTCTTTTACTTTAATAGTCTTTCTTCGTGAAAATGAACTTTTCCAGAGGGGTTGGGGGGTCTTTGTAACACTTGTGGAAATTCCGGAGGGTTGGGGGTCATCAGTTCCCTGCAAAAATGGAAAATCCAGGGGGGTGGGGGGGTCCTAAGTGAGATTCCCTCCGTGGTGGGGGCCTGGATATTTTCTGGAACTACACATTCCATAGTTCATAAATAAAACATAAAGGAACAATGCGTACAATGGAGATATATTTTTATACCGGTATGTAATCTTTCTTCCTGATATATAAAAAATTTTTATCAACGCGACTGAATAACTTCGCTATCAAGGAATGTTTGCCAATATATTAATTTCTTGTTACTGAACAATTTCTTAAATTCAACGTACAAATGTATGTTGCAGCTGTGATAACAGTAAGATTTAAAACTCACCCTTGGTATGTCAGGATTTGGTTTCTCTAATAAATCCACGTACGAATGCAAGTAATGATCCCAAAATCCACTCCTAGCTATAATCTGTACAACAACAAGCAGCATTTTGATGTTAACTGAGCGACGGTTGACGTGTACATATCGCTCCTCGTCTTCATGGTGGAAACTCAAGGCTTTTCTGCCACCAGATTCTAATTCATCGTGAAGTTTAGTTTTAATGCGCTTCCATGGCGGATATCGATTGAGAAAAACTGTACACGCACCAGCAACAAGAAGCCCTCCACACATATCAGCAAAGGCATCTACAAGATAACCCATTGAACCCCAGACGGACATAAAATTATCCTTCATGTTCTGTTGGGCGCGAAATACCACACCGTCTAAAATATCCAGCTGACAGCGAAGCTCGTAAAGCAAAGCTCCAAGTCTTCGAATACCAAGAGTTCCTGAAACAAAACATTTCGCCGCCATAATGGCCAAAAAGAGGTGGATTCCACTGATAAGATTAGGAGTTATACCAGGTACCTTGTATAGACCTGTATAGTCGTTGAAAAATTGCATCCACGGGAGGTTAACGTAATGATCCGTGTGGTCCTGCATCCGGAGTTTTATGGATTTCACCGGGAACATCATATTTTCGGCCATAGTTGAATTGTAGAATGAACCATGTTCTCCTAATTCATCAAAAAAGCTCAGATCCATCCACACGAAAAACGTAACCAATGCAAAAACAAAGTAGAAACCACAACTTTCCTCACAACCGGCCATTTTGTCGTGTCGCCAGTCGCGGTCGAGGTGGAAGTGTTTCACACGGTCTTCTTTGACAGGCGACGAATGTTGTTTTTGGTACCTTAGTGCCGTTGTTCGAGTCAAACAAAAGAATTTCTTACTCCATATTAGAAATCCACATAGAAGAAGACAAATTCTTGTCGACAAAGTACAGCTTAATGAAACCGTGAGCTTTATCAGTGTTTATATCTCTTTCACAGTTTTCTATCTCTGCTTGAGAGAACCACGTGATCAATCCAATATTACACAATGCTCGCCCTTTGCACAGCGGTTTGTTCGTTTTTTTTTTTTGTTTTTTTTTAAACACAAGCTTCGGAAATACAGTATTCTTGCACTACAATGGAGATGTAAGAAATAGTTTCATAGCGATTCCCGCGAGTCCTGACTCATCATGTCGACAATATACACACAATCGGCATAGGATCAGGCCACATCCCATATATGGACTTCCGGTCTTTAAAATTCGTGAATAGCTTCAAGCAAAGAAGTTAAAGAAAAATTGTCACTCAAAAAAGTAATCTTGTGACGTTCTAGTGCTGACAAGTTATGGTTTTAGAGGGTGCCCGTTAAACAAAAGCCAAGGACAGTTTTTTTCTCAAAGGAAAAAATGAGATCATTCATTGTGTTTATTGTCAGACCACCGGTCAAACCTGTGTTCCAAAGGTCGTAGCACACTTTGGCCCCTAGCCTGCGGAAACATCCGTTTCTCCTCGCTCTTCGCCGCTGGGGACGTTTCGCGCGGAGGAATATGGGGCGCCGTATTGGACATTATTGCGATGTGTCAAATAAAATGCTAAACGTCAAAAGTACATGCCAAACTTTTTATTTCATATGCTAAACGTCAAAAATACATGCCAAACTTTTTATTTCATATGGTAAGTTTGTTGGAACCATAGCAAACTCCGAAAATTCATTCCGAACTCACAACTCCGTTACCTTTTTGCCACCAAGACATTCTAAACTGCATTCCGTGTGCTAAACTTTATTTCGCGTGCTAAACTTCATTTCGTATGGTATGATGCATCGCGCGCCT